TCAAGTAAACCTGTTCAATTTTTTGAATTCAATGTAGTTTTTTATTCGAGCAAAAGAGTGAATTGTATTTTTTTTTGTTTTAAAGATTTAACATGCTTATGCTTACCAAAACAGTGAAATTTTCTGATAAGAATGTTTTTTTAATTAGTCGAATCGGTTAAAATTGTAAAATAGCATACTATCTTAGGTTCTCAAATCCTATTTCCATGCTAGTACGCTTTGGTATAATATTTATATTTGAATAGATCAAGATTTTTGTAGATTCTTACCAAAGTCTAGCTCGGGAAAAAGTGTGGCACGAAGTTTTTATGCCATATTTGAAGAGTATGTAGATTCAACGAGTAGACATGTTCAAGTCGCATGATACATTAATTAATTTGAGAACTGTGACAAATATGTTGAAGATAGAGATGAAATAGCAGGAATATCTTGAGTGAGGATAAACGGAAATATGACTTCCTTTGCATCTTGGAAATTTTTTGTTTTCCTCCATAGAAACTATGCTATATATATTAGAAATGTATGGAACACTCTCTAAAAAATAAAATCGCTTCGATCGAAAATTAATCTAATTAAATTCCATAAGAACCTCTCAAATAAAAAACTACATTGAATTCAAAAAATTGAACAGGTTTACTTGATGATCTCAACAGCAGACGTGTTAATGATGGTAGGTATGTTGTCGACGTCGAAAGTCTTGCACCACTTTTCTCTTTTAGGTTGTACATGAAAACTAGACAACATTAATTTAGTTTCTGAATATATCTCTATAGCAGAGATTGATTGAAGACAAGGCTCACATCAATAGTCACATCTATATTCTGAGAAACCCAAGTACAGAAGTCGTTTTATATAAATGATTAGTTTGCATTTTCATCAAGGGATCTTATTAACTATAAATGTTTAGGTACGTGAAAAGAAGAACCATTCGAATGATGTTCAATTTCCATAGCATTCGTATACATACTAATGTTATGGTTCTATCACTGCTTTTTATTATCTCTCTCTCTGCTATGTGGGAAGAAAAGACGGATGCTCATCTACAAATAGTTTTTCAATCATCACTGCTGAATGTTTCTTTTTCTCGCTTGGGTTTTGCGTTCTATTGAGTACATGTAATCTTAGTAACTGCGTATATAAAATATCCATATTCGTGTTCGGAAGCAGTATTTGTGCAAAATAAATGATCAATAAAATGATCGACTACTAGGAGCCATGTTATCAATCAAATTATTTTGTTTTTCGTTAGAATCTAGTGCGCTTTATCTAACCTTTACATGTTTTAATATGTTTTGCTGTTACTTGATAGCAGTTATCTTGTATTCTCTTACATAGCTGCATCACGGCAAAATTTCTTTCGTCTTGACGGATAAGGTACATTAAAAAACAAAATGGATGCGTGCACAACGCGACGATGAGTGATACAAGACCTAAGAAGCGAACTAGACTCAAGATCGTCGCACTAAGTAAGTCGAGCACTAGCGAAAACGTCGCATAGAATATATTGTTTGATAAATACAGTAGATTGCGAGTCAGTAATCAAGTACAAAAAACAAGCTGTGAAACGTGTGTCAACAGGACGACAGTAGCTCAAGGCAGAAGGGACAGATCAGGTCTTTCGCAAGTGGTGGAATTCGAGACACGTCGATAATCCACAGTTCCTGCAATAACGAGCATTCTTGAAATGAGCTGAAAACGTCCAACGTATCAAACTATTTCTGTTCAGCCTAGTAAGCTTTTCCCTTTTTGTTGTTCAAGACTGGAAGACGAGAAAAATATTTTTTCTTCATATTTTGTTAAGATTTGTCTAGCAGTTCTCTTTCGCTCGATTTTGTCAATGTCTAGACAGCAAATCAATGCATTGAAGTGTCCGAGAGACTAATAAGCGCCTCCTTGAGTCAGCAACTACTCGAAAAGTTGAGAAAAAAAACATAAAGAACGAAGACTGATATTCACAACACAGATAGATTACGATGCATAAGCAAAGATATGATCGACTAAATCTTTTCGTTGCTGACCATACTGTTCATTAACAACATCAGTACTTCCTATGAACGTCCGTCAGGTGCAGACATGGTAGTTCATTATTCCAAGTGAACTCGGTAGTTCTAAGGATATATTTTGTTTCTACATGCCATGTTGAACAAAGAGTTGAATTAGAAGTGACTTTAAGACTAGTTCCTATCCTTATGACCATTTTAAATACCAATCAATTGCTCAGAGGATTGATTGACATGTTCTTCCATAAATATATACCAAACTTCAAGAAATTCCCAATCTAATAGAGTGATAATTGTGTGAAAAGTTGCAACAATAAGCAATGTTTTCATTCATGATATAACAGAAATCTCATTCTTATGAAACAACATAAAGGTTCTGCTCGAACTCTAAATTCGTTTGCAATTTAGACTGCATATAAAACCAAAGATCTCAAGAAGCTACAAGTTTTAAATGCGCGGTATCGATAATAGCTAGTGATCTGTATTTTTCACCAATAGAAAGAGGCAGAATCGGAACGTGTTTTTATGTAATGTGAAATCGCTGTCAAACCAATCACTTTTCGAAACTCTTCCTATACTTCAAGGCACATTATGAATGGTTATCGTCTCACATCCTAATTTTAAGCGAATGAATTCGACCATTTGCATGCCGATATTGCCATAATTTTTAACTCAATCTTGTTTACATTCTATCAAAAAAAAAAGCTTGTTGCTCCGATAAAAATTTGATAAAAGCTAAGAAAAGGAGGTGGGACGATAAGAGCATTTTTAGCCCTAAAAAGCTTTTGGACAAAAGTTATGTGAACATCAAGACTTTTTGCACTTGTACCCTCCACGGTTCACTTGGAAATTTTTTTTTCAGATGAAATACATGTCACAGTATAGAATCTATAGTGCTGATCACGAATGATACTTTTTGAAGTCTTACCACTTCGCCATATAACCATATCAACCTGTGAGAGTGATATAGGTAGATGTAGTTTGTCGTGTTCTGTCCAGATATGTTCTTGAATGAAAAAAGAAACTGTCCCTTTGTGGTGTTAAAATGACTGGTTATTAGTGAAAAGTCATATTTTTTCGATCACGTTTTCACAGTCGTCACTGTGCTGTGCAACAGTGCGCATGCATTTCAATGACACAATTAATGTTTCATCAGACAGAGCACACTTGATTACCTATATTAAGCATTTCTAAAGCATTACTAATCCTATGTAGACCGATGAGAAACGACCATTAGTTCTGTGACTATAACGGTTAATAATACTGAAAAATAATCAGGGCCGTCAGGCGATTTCCATGATCCAGGTTAGTCTTCTGAAAAATAATCACAGGATGAAAATAAGCAAATCATAAACTACAATTGTGGTATACTTGGTGCCATTTGTTAGTCATCAAGAACCTGAAAAACTGTCTTCACTGATTATTTGTCAAAGAGATGCCATAATATAAAGCTTATGGTATTAATAAAAAATAGCTTCTCATTTTGTTTTTGGAAACCATCCAAACAAGTAAGAAGACGAAACATGAAACATTTTAACCGTGGACAAAAAGAACGGTAACCCTTGTTTATTTTTTTTAAAGTCACTCCTGTTCCGATAGAATGCTCTAAATGCTTTAGAAATATCTAATATTGATAAACAAGTGTGTGCTATCTAATGAAACACTAATTCTGTTAGTTAAACACGTGTGTTGATGCACAACACAGCGAGAATGTGAAAATATGAGAGAAAAAATATGGCTTTTCATTACTAACCGGTCCTGTTACTACAAAAGAACATGTTTTTGTTTTATTTAAGGACATATTTGGATAGAGTATGAAAAAGCTCATATACTTATGTCACTTTCACAGGTTGCCATGGTGATACGGCGAAGTGATGCATCTTGAAAAAGAGTCGTTCATCACATTTATTCAGAAATCTTGCTCGTAATCCGATTATAAAATCTGCTTTCTATATTTAGATGTTATAGTTTATACATCATTAGATAGAGGATATTTAATTATCTATTTAAAATAAGTTTTCAAAAATTTAGAACGCTACATTAGGACGCCAATGACTTAAAAGCCACAGAAAATCTGCAATTTTTCTCTGGTGCCAAAACCATAAAAACCTTTGCATCCTGACGTGCTAAAATACTTTAGACGAAAACTACAATGATATCTGCGATCAGCACTATCGATTATATACTGTGGCATGTATTTTGCCTGAAAAGAAAAAATGTTCTAGATAAACCCGGTTATTATCACCGTATAGTTTTTTCCAAAAATTTTTACGTAGAAAAATACTCATGTCGTCCCATCTCGTTTAGTCAAAATCATCGCGGTCCCATATTATTTCAGTACACAAATGGTCGAATTCATAAGCACACATTACCATGTGAGAAGATAACCCTTCATACTGTATCTTGAACAACAGGAAGAGTTTCGAAAAATGATTGGTTTGCCAGCGATTTCGCATTAGATAAAAATTCGTCTCGATTCTGCCTCTTTCGATTAGTCGAAAGCACAAATCACTAGCTATTTTCAATGTCGATCTATTCGTCTTACACGTACTTCTATTTAATTCTGGTGTCGACAATAGTCATTAACCCCAATTCCCAATGAAAGAACTTATCATTGAACCCAGTTCTCAAAACAGAATCATTTCGTAGAACTTTGAGCTGTCACCGATCTATTCATCACAAGTAATATGGACCACAAGGAAAAGTACAAGTCGGGAAATTCTTTATCATGATGCTGATAAGATTTTATCATATATTTTTTTACATTCTAGATCTTTTCAAGGAGATCTTAATTGAATGCAACTTCACCTTTTGTTTGATTTCGATACAATAGAGAAAATAACTATTTTATATGTATCTCATGATTCTACAGTTTATTATCACCCTTTCCGTACTTAATCATGCCGTGAACAGTTTACAAGCTGAGGATTTTTACGTTCACGACTTACCTCTTTTACCTAAAGAGACTTATTCCATTCGTATGCATGCTGGACAACTATCTCTTGATCCAAAACATAATGAAACCTTATTTTTCTGGCATTTTGCAAGCAAATATATTGCTGACCAGTCAAGAACAGTGATTTGGCTTAATGGAGGTCCTGGCTGTAGTAGTCTTATTGGAGCTTGGACAGAAATTGGTCCTTTCCGCTTTCAAGATGAAAATACAATAATTGAAAATAATGGATCTTGGCATATGTTTGCCAATCTATTGTTTGTTGATCAGCCTGCTGGTACTGGTTTTTCCTATATTGATACGGACTCGCGTATTCATGAACTCGATGAAATGGCAAATCATTTTCTAAGTTTTCTCGATCGATACATTGAAGTTTTCCCAGAACTACTTCAAAACGATATCTATTTGGCTGGTGAATCCTTTGCTGGTCAGTATATTCCATATATCGCAAAAGAGATTCTTACAAAACGATTGAACTTAAAATTACGCGGTCTTCTAATGGGAAATGCTTATATCGATCCTGTAAGTATTTATGAATCATATTTGCCTTTTGCACTTGCAAATAATTTAGTGAAAAATAATTCTGCACTCTATAATGATATTACCAATCAACTCAGAATATGCCAGCGTGCACTTTCCAAAGAAGCGCATGTTTTCGAGGAAGAGTGTGAGTATATCCTGCGTCAAATACAGGAGAACGGTGAAATGAATAATCAGTATATGACAAAAGAAAAAGGTAGATGCGTCAATGTTTACGACGTGCGATTAGACGATACATGGCCTCATTGTGGTATAAATTGGCCACCAGAAATGAAATATCTCACGCTTTATTTACGTCGACAAGACGTTATGCTGCATATTCATGTTGACAGTAAAAAATCAGAATGGATAGAATGTGCAAACTCTGTTTTCAAAACATTTCAAGCATATCATTCGGAACCATCGATCAAACTGTTGCCTGATTTACTTCAAAAAATCCCAATTGTGCTTTACAGTGGTGAATACGACTTGACTTGTAATCATTTTGCGACCGAAAAAATGATAGATACTATGACTTGGAACAATCAAACTGGATTTGATCTGAGGGACGGGACGTCAGCACCATTGGTGCCGTGGATTGTGGATGATGAACCTGTTGGTCTTAGTCGAACTGCACGTAATTTAACTTATATTTTCTTCTACAACGCTAGTCACATGGTACCTTACAACTATGCATATCGATCACGCACTATGCTACACGAATTTATGCAATTGAATTCATCTTTTAATGCTGATCAAACAGCGGAATATGGCACAGTTGTAAATATGAATCAGCCAAAACCTCGTATTGGCAAACGCATCATTTTAATCGTACTGGCTTCAATTATTATCATTATAGCTCTTGGTAGCCTCGCTTGGTTTGTTGTATGGAAGCAACAACAGATTGGGATACACACACTGTTGAGTAGAACTCGCGAATTGTGGTCACACAAGTGCGATGTTCAGCTACAGCAATTAGTAGTCTCTTCACTTGCAGATGATGCGAAAGAAAATTTTCATGCGTTTGGGGGCACAGCATTAGTATAGTTTATGCGAAGTCTTATTAAATCCCGCTCTTGTAACAACTTTTTTCTGATAGTTCTATAATTATTTTATGCTTTGAAATACTTGATAAGTACCATATAAAAGTAATATTTGTGATTATATCTACAAATAAACTATACATAGTATCATATGATATCGGTTTTCTAATGTTAATTAATCGTATCGATCAATAAAGTCTACTTGGATTTGACATATTTTCTTCTAATATTCGAATCTATTCTATAATTTATCAATCTATATATGCATTTGTAACATAAACATCTTGTCAGTAACAGCGTAATGATAATTGTTGACTAAAATCAGTAAATATCTAATAGATTGTTCATTCATAACTCTATGATATTTGAGCAGAATTTTATGATTCACCTCCTCTATCTATACGCATTCATAGTATAGGTTGAATTAGTGTTTCGAATCGGAATGATCTACCAGCTCGAAGAGTATATTGTTTTGTCAGAATTTCAATGAAAAAATTCTTTTTATTTTATACTTGGATTCTGAATGAGAAAGAATATTTGGGACATTTTAGGAGTAAAAATAAACTTTTTTCTAATTTATTGTTTCCTGTAGACTGCGTTTTATTCTTATTGTAACAACCAGTATATGAATGGAGGTTGCAGAGCACTAAACAAATAACTTGACGAAAGAAAAAACCAATGTGTATTTATTTTCTTCTTTTTTTAGAGTTTTACTCAAGCCGAAAATACTTAAATTAGATTTTTTTTTGTCTTTCAAAGAATCAATATCCTGGTATTTACCAACTTTAGATTTCAGATTTTTAAATACAGTTTGCATGAAAGTTGCTTTTGAAGTTCACTAAGAAATCATTGAGTAATCTATTAAAATGTCTTATGCTTAGATCTTACTTTCTCTTGTGAATCCATCAAAAGAAGTCTTTATAGATTTCTACCGAAATCTAACTATGACGCATGTGGTCAAGATAGAGATAGTGTAGCAGGAATGTTTCGAGTGCATGAAATCGGAAATATGACATTGTTTTCATGTTGGGAAACTTTTGTTTCTCTCCATCAGACCTCTACTATATTAGAAATGTATGAAACAATCTCTAAAAAATAAAATCGCTTCAATCGAAAATTAATCTAATTAAAAGCCATGTTAATGATTGTATGTATGTTGCGTGAAGATGACTTACGAAAGTAACATCGAGAAGTTCATTTGTGTTTTTTAATCATAATGTATTTTAATTATACAATTGACATCAAAAGACTCGCAATATTTTCCATATTATACCTCCATAGTAGAAGTCAAGTACAATATATATAGTCCTATCTAATGAGAAAAATCCTTGAAAATAAAATAGGATTACAAAAAAAAAACTTCAATGCCAAGAAAAAAATGACATGAAAAAGACAAAATCTTGAGAAAGTTTTTCATTCTATCACACTTTGTAGAGTTGTTTTCTCTGATTATTCTGGTAAAAAAAAACTTTTTGGATTTCATTAAGAGATGATAATATGACAGTATAAATACCGAATAACATGAAAAAGCTTAAAGTTCGATTTTCTTTTGATAAAAGATCACAAATAAACATAAAAAGTCGATTTATATATCTCAAAATGGTTAAATTCTGGAAACATGTCACATGCTAGATTTTTAGAGAAAAGTTCACCCTAAAAAACTCTATCGTTGATATCTCAGTTACAGTTGAATACTATCACTCTATCGACATTTATTTATAGTATACATTTGGGATCTTATATCAGAATAAAATTGAAGTTAAAACTTTTTCACAGTGTTCAATATTTTGACTATGTATCATCATTGCTCAATAAAATCCCAAACATTTGTTTTTACCAAAAAGATCAACAAGACTAAATTCCATTTCTATAGTTCATTGGTGTTTAACTGTGGAATTCATTGTTGAGTATGTACTGCACGTCATTTTCATGCATTTTTATGTTCGGATAATGTTTATAACTGAAATGTAATGCCTTTAGCGTTTATTCTTCAAAAACGTAATATAAATTTTAAGTCTGATTCACAAGTGTTTACATTTTTTGCTTCATTTTCTAAGAACAACACAACTTATATGTAATCAATGAGTTTATGATGCCAATAATATATAATATTAATAAGTAGCGACCTCTCATAGATGTTTTCTTCATGTATGGAAGGTGTGCAACTTAGTCCAATGGCTTTTCCGTGTATGTAGATTACCTCAACTGAAGTCAACGAACTGATGATTATCACATAAAGACTTCATATAAGGATTTACTCATATATTAGGTCTCATCATGTAAATTATCTTATCTTTTAAATTGTTGTATAATTATATGTCATAAACCTCGATAGAAAATAAGTATCACCATAGCAAGACTAAATCAGCGTGATATTAGAACTACAGGTAAGTGAAGATTGATACTTATTATATGTCATTCAACCCATCGATTTTATTGTTCAAAGATTTTTATCATTGGAATCATGCCTATAACTGAAACTGTACTGTTCATATATGAAATATGAACGATGAATCGGCAACGATATGAACATCTTTGCACAAATTTGTGAAACCTTTTATGATGTTCTTTTCTCATGAGTTATGAGATGCAAAAATGATTTTTTCTTGTTTTATTCTCCCTTGACAAAACCTAGCTAAGATTGTGGATTGAGTATGACACCATTTGAGGAAATAAAGATGCATATATAACTCGTTCTTCAAATATTTCAGTAGACGTAGCTAATCATTTTAGTAGTTTTTATTGTGTCTTTAAAAGCTAAAATAGAAACCAGCGATTCATCGCAAGTGATAGTAACCAAAAGGAGAAGTTGAACTTGAAAGACTCTTTACTATCTTAATGATAAGATTTTATCATATATTTCTTTATATTCTAGATTGTTCCAAGCATGCCTTAATTCGAGATAACTACGCCTTTTATTTTATTTTGATACAATAGAGAAAACACCTGTTTTATACGTCTCTCATGATTGTACAGTTGTTTATCGTCCTTTCCATACTTAATCATATAGTGAATAGTTTACAAGCTGATGACTTTTACGTTCACGACTTACCTCTTTTACCCAAAGAGGTTTCTTCCATTCGTATGCATGCTGGACAACTATCTCTTGATCCAAAACATCATGAAACCTTATTTTTCTGGCATTTTGCAAGCAAATATACTAGTGATAAACCAAGAACAGTGATATGGTTTAATGGAGGTCCTGGTTGTAGTAGTCTTATTGGAGCTTGGACAGAAATTGGTCCTTTCCGCTTTCAAGATGAAAATACAATAATTGAAAATGACGGATCTTGGAATATGTTTGCCAATTTATTGTTCGTTGATCAGCCTGTTGGTACTGGTTTTTCCTATATTGATACGGACTCGCGTATTCATGAACTCAATGAAATGGCAAATCATTTTCTAAGTTTTCTCGGCCGATACATTGAAGTTTTCCCAGAACTACTTCAAAACGATATTTATTTGGCTGGTGAATC